TGACAGAGGTAGGATGGGGTGGCCGCCCTCATCATCACCCCGCCAACCCTCCCACCACCCCACCGATCTGTGCCGGCAGGGCCGCGGGCAGGGGAGCAGCCCCGGCTCATCCCATCTCCTCTCCCCAGGGCTCTGGGGGCTGGTGAACAACGCGGGGATCGCCACCCCCAGCGCCCCTAACGAGTGGCTGACCAAGGATGACTTCGTCAAGGTGCTGGACGTCAACCTGGTCGGCCTCATTGAGGTGACGCTGAGCCTCCTGCCCCTGGTGCGGCGAGCGCAGGGCCGGGTGGTCAACGTGGCCAGTGTGATGGGCCGCATCGCCTTTTTTGGTGGGGGCTACTGCATCTCCAAGTTTGGCGTGGAGGCTTTCTCCGACAGTCTCCGGTAAGTTCAGCTCGGCAGACGCTACCCTGGTTTCCCAGTTTGCTTTTCCAGGCTTCGGCCAGCAGAGCCTCCGTCTGCCAAACCCCTTCCTCACGCAACCACGAGCAAGCACAGGCAGAGTTTGTTTTAACTGCTGCCGAAGCATGAGGGGGGGGCTGTGGGGATGCTTAATGCATGGACCAGACATCAGGACACCTCATGCCACAGCTATGGGACTTGGATCCCATGGGAGCGCTCTCCTGGCCCGGGGCACCCTCGCCTGCCTCTGGCAGCCTCTGCTCCTCTTTCAGCCAAGCTCACGTGGAGGCAGCCCCAGGGAAGGGAACGCAAAGGCTTTGGTGGAGCTTTGATTTCATTTCCCTGCCTGAGGACTTCCCCAGCGGCAGGAGTCCGTGGCCATGCCAGCTGGCACCGCTGTCGCAGCACCGAGCCTCTTCCATTGGACCTTGCCCCCTTCTGGAACCTTGTGGGCAATGGCCCTGAGGTTTTCTTTGGCCCCATCCCATCCTGATTCAGCAGATGTTTGCTCGCACGCCACCTCGGACACGTGCCGGGGCTGGCACGGGGTCTGCTGGGGTGGTAAGGCTCCCCACTGTACCTCCGGCACGGGCAGCCGTGCATCCCGCGGGAGAGCCGGTGCCCACACACAGCCCGCACTGGTGGGCGGCAGAAACACTCGGGTGCTGCTCCTGCACCCCACGGGGCTCGATCCCTTCTAGGCTTGAGATGCGCAGCTTCGGGGTGAAGGTCAGCATGATCGAGCCAGGCTACTTCAAGACGGTGATCACCAATGTCGAGAACCTGGAGAAGAATTTTCTTTCCACCTGGGAGAGGCTCCCGGAGGAAACCAAAGCGAGTTATGGGGAGAATTACTTAAAGGAGTGTAAGTACCTCACCTAAAGGTTAGGCAATGCTGTTTCTCTTCCTGGCACGTCTCCAGGACCACGAGGTGTCCCTCCACCCTGTCATCCCGCTGAGCCGCTTGGCCGCGCTTGGCTCAAGGGTCTAAGCCCGGCAGCCTGACCGGCGCTTTCTGCCTCTGCAGTTTTGGTAAGGCTCAGGAAGGCGCTGAAGAGGTGCAGCTCCAACCTGACGCTGGTCACGGACTGCATGGAGCACGCGCTGACCAGCCGCTTCCCACGCACCCGCTACTCGGCGGGCTGGGACGCCAAGCTGCTCTACATCCCCCTCAGCTACCTGCCGTCAGCCCTCACGGACATCATATTCAGCTGGTCCTACCCCAAACCTGCCTGGAGAGCCCACCG